ATACATGAAGCCCCGCAAGAAAAGAGCGAGCAAAGCTACCGGCACGGCCCAGGGTGAGCATGCTGGCGAGACCGAGGGCCAGCGCATCGCTCCTCCGAGCCTGCGGGCGGCACGGGACCCTCTGCCCGCCGCGCAGACTGCGTGCCTACAGCCCCGTAACGCGCAGCCGCCTATGGCCAACCGCTGCTAGGGCAGCGTAAATCTGCATGAATACCGTGTATGTATGCATGTATGTACACACACAAAGCCATGCGCATTTATTTGAAGAGGAATCAAGCCACAAATCACCTAAACCTTTCTAGAAAGACTAATTGATTTCATCATTTTCAATCACTAATTTTAACAAAGGAACCCAAACCATCTAACGGCTCGGTGCCCTCTGCCCATTTCCGCTGTTGAAGACTTACAGCTTAATTAAGTATGTGCAACTCTTTTCAATCGTCTGGGGTTTTTTCAGTGTTTTGCACCACGATAGGTTTCCTGAGGTTTTCAAGTCAGGGAGAACACAGTATCAGGAACATGCTATTAAAAGGGTCCAGAACCTCTATTACTTAGGTTGATGATAGTGCAGGGAATGAGGCTGCACCTAAAAAGAGCGAGATTAGGTTTTGCTTTTTCCCTGACAATGCCTTCTCTCTGCAAACACTCGGCTAAGAAATCAACACAGGACTTCATTCTGGCAAACCTCCCCTAAATTTCACCACGGATAAACAGTACAGACTGCACTGCAGGTTCTGTAAAGAGCTACAGCTGAATCTGTGCAAACCTTTCCTTCTGATTTTCAGTGTTCTGATGGTACCTGGATTGGTACTTCTTGGCCAGACACAACTAAATGATGATCCTCAGCTGTTCCTACCGTAGAACTGGATTCTGCACTATGAACAAGAGTGGAATTTCTTTCTCTGACTTAAAAGTGGAACACAATTCATTCTTAAAAATCACACAACATTGCCCATCTCTTACTTGCCAGCACTTGAGCCAGGAGGTGAAGGTGGAGCAGCTCAGGAGGACAGGATGGAAGCAATGAACTACGAGGAACCGCGATGCTCGGTGTCAAGCACCTCTGAATGTCAATGACAGCTGAGAACTGGCAAGCTTCAGAGGACAACTGCTCAGTAATTCTTGTAAAAGCTTGATTCTTGTAGGTTTCCTGCAGCAGACTAGAGTCATGGCACAATAGATGCCTTTGCAAAAAAATTTAAAAAGTTCAAAAAAAAAAAGCAAAAGCATTTGTATACACTGAGATACAAATATCACCTAATTCTGTTCAGCTTGTTATTACTGGCTTCTGTTCCACTGTGCAATTCTAACCTACGATGTAGAACAGGCTCCACTTCCAGTGATGCCCACCAGACCCGCTCGGAGCGGTGGGTGAAATGCGAACGGCAGTGGGCAATACCCTGTGCACTGCAACGAACGGGTTTGGCTCCCTCCCCATGCCCTGGTCCTAACCTGCCTGGGTGGACTGACACCGAATTGGGAGTTTTAACATGCAAGTCACACAGGTGCAGCACCCCACGCGGGAAAACACGAGCTGGAAGTGAGTAACGTCAGTATGTTTGGCTCATTTGGACAGAGCAAGGAGCCACCACTCTCTCCAGAATCTCAGTATAAACGCTGGCTTTTGTAGGACTAAAATAACCTGCAGTGTTGTATCTTTTATTTTCTGTTTTTCAGAGTTCCATTTTTTTGCTAACTCTCCTTTCTTCACCCTTTCAGGGTTTTGATGTATTCACAACCTGGCAATACCGCAGGAATGAGCAGAACTAGAGCTTACAGAAGTGGCCTACCATCACAACCAGGGAGAAGTTAACTTCACCAGCCTGCTGTGGTCACCTAGGTGTAAAGATGACAGAGACACATGGCTAGTGGCCTGGAAACGTCACACTGCCTGCACAGTGGTTTAAAGGTGGCCAGACTGGTCAGCATACTCAAAATTGCTTTAGCTCTACAAATAAATATGCAAAAGTAGGCAACAGTTACGTTTGTAGGTGAGCCAAAAGAGAAAGTCTTTGCAGTCATTTAGCATGGAATATTGGTTTTTTCTTATTACACAAGCCCCCACATTAGCCTGACTTAGCACTGGTTTACAGGAAGTTTAAATTAAGAATGAGACAGCCGTATCTTCTGTTTCATATATGTCATTACACAGTACAAGGGGAAAAAAACGCAACACAACTTCAAAGGTCCTATAGAACAGTAACAAAAGTTTCAAACTGTGCTTTACATCTGTTATCCAGTGATATTTCTGCATGTCCCAACAATGAGTTACCATACTTAATAAAAGGAACCACACAAATCTCTTTTATCACAGAAAGAAGAGCAAAATTCTTAACATTGCTCGGTTTGCTCAGTTTTCATGTGTTGATCAAAATGCATTTCATGGTTTTACTTTAAATTAAGCTACTATTTTTTTAAAGTTATGTTTTTGTTGGGTTTTTTTTTTAGTCTGAGAATAACAAAATAGCATTACTGCAAAACAATAAAAAAACCCTGAATACTTAAAGGACTTAAGTCGAATTAGTTATTCTGCAAAATAAGAATCTGATTTACGAAGAGATTAACTAGGCACTGTTCTAAGCAGCAAGAATGAAAACTCAATGTATAAGCTCAGGTTTCTACGAAAACAAAGAACATAAAACAGGGACACCACCTTAAGATTACTATATACAACCACTTAAACATTACTACAATGTAAACATAATTTAAAAAGAAAATCATCATCGAATGCATTTATCAACATTGTATTTAAAATATTAAATTTCCAGTTTCTTCCAGATAACTTTTCTTACTCAAATATAAACTGATAACATCCTAAAATAACAGAATGCTACTTATATGAGGCTGTTAAACATTTTATAATTTTTCTCCTACAAAGAGTGCAGAAAGATTCACTGCAATGTGGAGTTCTTGTTAGCAGGTGTATTTTTTTGCTGGTGGTATAGCTCAAGAAAAATATCACAAGCCTTTAGAAATATCAGGAACTACCCTTTGTGGTAATTTCATTTTTAGGTCTGAATAAAATATGCATCCAAAACTTGTAGAAAATGGATTTGGAAGGAAAAATAAAGCTAATGCTAAGTAGATCTGTTGTGTATTAGTTTTGAACAAACTAGGCTTTCTCAGTTTACAGACCATTTTACATGTCAAAGAAATTATTAGGATCAAAAGAAATTTAACTATAAACACTGCACCCCAACTGTTTCAAATCTGAGCTTCAGAGAACTTTACAGATACGAATCTGAATGCCATAAAGTACAGAGCAGAAGAGACGCCAATCCAACAAACATTTTCTTCAAAATAATTCAATATTTGCATTTGTTTAGCCTGGCAAATTTTTAACTTCAAGATTCTAACTTTGCATCAACACCTTAAACAATTTATGGGTTGGCATGACTAGATGAAGACTGCAACTTCCAGGATGCATGAAAGAGAAGTGATGTTTCTCAACTATAAATGCTGCTACGTAGTTAGCTTTGACTATAAAGTAGTAAGCTAATGCCTCTAGCTTCTCATTGCAGGTATTTGCCTGTTGTCTGTCCATTCTTTTGAAGAAATACTGAATGTTTTAATACCGCTCTTAGGAGGCAGCAGCACCACACAGTGTGAGCTATACACTGCTTCTGACATAGTCAAAACCACAGCAGGCTTCACTGATGGCCTCATATACCAGGAAAACAGAAATGTCTGAAGGATGTAATATGTCCACTGCTAAGCCATCACAACATTCTACAGCCTATGCCCAAAAATTCAGATTTTTGTTTCAGGTTAAGTTCAGGTTTAAGCACATCTATCAAAACAGTTAATATATGGCAGCTTTGGATTTAGTAACTGTCACCTCCATGGCAGCATTGATCTTAACAGCAATCTACTGAATTTAATTTTAACCAGAATCCTTCATCTTCCTCTTCTTAAAGTGCACTTCTGCAAAAATTGAAAATCTTCAGCAGACTCAAGTTTGATAATCATTTCCAACAACAGCTTCATAACAGCACAGCACAAAGCTTATTCTCCCAATGCTTACTGGAGAATGAATCTGAAGATGTGGTGTTTTTCTTGGGAAAATAAACCAAACCAAACCAAACCAAAATAAGCCCAGTTTTCTGTTCAAAACACATGAAAAAGAAGGTGGAGTGTGCTATAAGAAAGTTGCCTACACACTGGGAGCACAATGAAATTTATACAGATCTATACGCTGTGGTCTAGTTAGAAATTCATCCTTGCTCAGACATCTAAAGGATAAATGTTATCCTCAGATTTCTGTGTAAACCCACATAATCATTTAAGGCTTTGCCTCCTTCCTGGATTAACTATTGTACAGTTAACAGAAAGAGTTTTACCTCCTGTCTTTTACCCAGGGGGAATATCGACTCTCCTGTCTTTATCTCCAGTGTATAATAAGAAGTCACCGAACAGTTGTTTTTCCAGAGCAGTGTCACTTCAAGGTACTGACGCAAGATGAGACTTACTCCAGTAGACAGAACTGAGTATCCAAACAGTGTAAAGATGCTGAACTTCCAGTTAGAAAGTTAAGTGAACTCGTATTGGACAGAGCACAACTCCTTTTACCCAGCTGAAGAAACGTTCGCCAATCATTTCGGCTGGCCATCCTATTCAGAAGAGGTGAAGCAGTGGACCATGCTCCTCGGCATCATGCTGGTTACTGAAGTGACCAAACACACAGAGCTCAATACAGAAGAGTAGTTTGGAAGAGAACACCGCCACGCAAATATGAAATCTGTTAGCTGTCAACAACAACAAAACAAACCGAGGGGCTGGGGTTGTTTCACATGGCAACAACAACGCGCGTGAACTGGATATGCAGGAAAATAAAACTACACAATATAAATTTCCCTAGTCATTCTATGTATAGCCCGATTTCTCTGTACACACTCCTGTGTAATGAATGCAAGAAAGCTGAAGGGGCACCAGAGTGGATGTGAGTTTCTCTTCCCCGTGAAGTGCCTCCACTTTCCTTAACCCAGCAGCACCTCTGCTTATCACTGCTCATTAGTGCCCTCTGTTGCATCTGATGAAGACTTGTCTGTTTTCTTTGATTTCCTCTGCAGTTGCTCTTGTTCCTTCTTCCGAAGCTTTTCCCTTTGCTTTTCCATTTTCTCTTGAGCTTTGCGAGCTTTCTCCAATGATGCTTTCATTTCCTTTAGCTTTTTTTTAATGATTGCTCTGTCCTGGGAAGATGTCATACCAAGAGACTGAGGTGGGGAAAACAAAATTAAAAAAGAATTTCATATGCTTTAGTCCATCACCAAATTTTTTGTGTTCTAGTAATTACTCTTTGCAGGTAGAGGACTATCACAACTAAGCCAATCTGTGACAAGCTCAGATACATTCCTGAAGCTTAAGTAATAATATTTTATACTTCTGTACTACTTTTCATGCTTTCCACTTCTGGAATATTAAAAAATTAGATCTCATTGCAACCACAGTTTGACTACATTGATTTCATTGATCAAATGAGCAAAGAAAGATTAAACTGTTTGCCTGAAGTCATCTAAGTCTACATAGAACAAGACTCCCCAATTCTCACTGCTGTGCCTTCACTTGCTGTCTTCTAAAACCCCTACAGTTAGTGGAACACCAGCAAAAAAATTCAGAAGGAAAACACCAAACTTCGACTTTCAGATCTGCTGAGCATCCCACAACTCCCTCCTATAATTATTTCTGACAAAGGCAGGCTCATGTTTCCACTGCAGGAAACAATGCATACTTTATACATCAAAACTGTATTTAGTTCTAACATAGTACAACTGGTATCAGCTTATGCCTCCAGTATCCCAGTAATCCATTTTTCAGTTGCTACTTCTGATGTGTTTCAATTTCCTATTTTCTCTGAATCATCTTTTTTCAAAACAGAGCTGGATGAGAAATACGTGCATGCAAATACCATTTACACATGCTACTATATGATGTACGCATGCAAATAGAGGTACATTATATACACCCAGATTTTTCACAAAGCAAATGCTCTCTATTTCTGAAGCTTCTGAATCAAAGTGCATATGGGAATTTCGTAAAGTGTTACTATGGCTTTATACTCTCTGTTTATTATTCTAGTCTATCACCACTCCACACACAGGGATCCACTGCTTTCTGGATGAATTCTTTCTTCCTTTAAGATTACCTAAAGTCACAACAAATACTACATTTAGTCTTGAAGTCCAGTCAGTCAGTTACCTTGAGCTTACTCCCATCCAGCTGAAGGAGATGCTCCCCATTAATGTTCTGGGCACTGAATTCAGAAACATACTGTTCAAGGTTCAGGCTCATTAACCAGTGGGAAACCTGCTGCACGCTCCACTCCTGAACAGCACGACTCTGACACTGACTGTGCTTAGGAGACTGTCCATCGTCAAGGATCTGTGACAAAAACATGCCGCATTATTATTAAAAGGGTAACATGGACAAGTAACAACATTCTTCTGTACAAACTGCCAGCATCAGAGCAGAGGTATCTGTACTGTTTTACGCTACAATAATAGTAACTATTTCACACTGCTATATTACGTCTGTATCTAACCAGATATCTAAGAATTGGTACAAGGTACCCAAAAAGACTTCTATCTATAAACAGAAGAAGAAAAAGGAACTGGCATTCCTTTTAACCCAAACAGGGACTGAAATGGCCAGTGGCACAATTCAGAACAGGTATGTTCCCATTCCCTCACGAGATTTTTATCCTTCAAATTAGAAACCTTCTAAAGGATGCAATGAATTTGGTATTCTACTTCCTGGGCTCATTCACAGGTCTTTACAATGTGTTTAGGCTATAAAACAAGAAATTCAGGGGAAAAAACCCTCAGAAAACCACTCTAAATTTCAAAGTGATGACATCAAACAGCCAGTGAGACTGATACTATCTATGGAAGACTATGAGATGACACAGAGGAGCGGTAAGGAACACACAGCGATCCCACAGCCCCGGCCCTGCTCTCATCACGTTGAGCTGCTACGGAGCAGAGCACAAACACAGCACCAGGAGGGGCAGGTGGGGTGTCAGCTGCTGGGGGCAGCCCCATGGCCCCACTCTGCCGCTTTATTTCACCCAGGGGTATGCCAGTGGGGCCGGAAACAAAAGCTACTCTGTCCCAGCCGTGGTCAGCAAAGCAGCTGCTACAGGCTGCAGCAGCTGTCTGCTGTTAGAGCAGCTTTTACAGTGGGTTAGATGGTGGTGGGAGCGCGCTCAGCTTCTGCCTGTCCAGTTCTCAGGGCTGGGGAAAAGATGGTTTAAGCACTACCTTCTCCTTCTCCTATCGCCAGCAGGAGCTCAGTGCAGCTGGTGCTTGGTCTGGTGGATTTGCTCTGACACAGACCCTCCTCCCCTTTCCAGCACACTGCAAAAACTGCAACTTTCTATGGCCTTGAACACTCTGAGCAGAAAGGAGAGGGGAACTGAAGACAAGGAGAGAGGAGCCAGTGACATCTGCGTGTTGTGTTCGAACAAGGGTGTTTGCCACACAACACCGTAAAACAAGAAATGTAAATCTGCAAATGAGACGGTACATTGCCACGCGATGGTCACACGATTCACCACAACAGCACACTAGTATCTCACCTCATCATCAATCATATCCAGGCTCTGAGTGAGGGAGCAACAAAGAAATGGGAAAGAAAAGCATTATAGAAACAAAATACAGAACATGTAACAGCATGTAAAAGTTCAGGCAAGGGCAGCACCAAGATTTGCAAACAGATATGGCTACTCAAAACCAAAGAGATTTCTTTAAAAAAAATTCTTTCCAAAAGCAGAGGTTATGTTGAAAGCTCAGCACACACATGATTTGGCAGCTAAACCTGAGACTGTGCCAATGAAACCCCCTTGGAGTTCCTGGTCTTCAAACCCTAGAACCGGTGGGAACCTCCCTGATGGCTCCAGCTGCAAGAGCAAAAGCTCCTTAATTAGAGGAGAACAACCTGCAAGAACTGGGTTCCCTCTCCACCTTTTCATTTTTTTCCTCTCCTTCAAATAACCATGTCAGATCTGCCAGAGAAGCCTGAGCGAAGGAGTGCTTGCAGCAATACGCCATCAAAGGCTGAAGAGCAACGCTGGCCTAATCCCCTGCCAGGGTGGTGGTGGAGGTTTCCACTGCAGCTCTCGCTGAACACGCTGCCCGATTCGGAGGCTGCAATGTGGCCCACAGCAGAGGATGGAGAAAACACATTCATTTTTATAGACTTGTTCAGGCTTCATATTTTAGAAGTCATAAAGTAGAGAGCTGAACAAGCAAAATGAAAGCATTTTCAGTACCACTGGGAACAGGGGATTGTCACAATAAAATACAGAATGTAAAGGGAAGGAAACACGGTAAGAGAATGAAATGTATTATCAATGTAGTATTAATACTAAATAAGGTGTAAATGATGACTTTATTGTTTTCAGTAATTCATAGAATATACAGACCTGTCTGCACTTTCCTATGATTCTTATAAATTTTTGCCCTTTATTACCTGCAGTAAGTAACCTCTAAAGAATGGTTGGGTTTGTAGACTTGCATTTTGGCAAATGGGGTTGCACAGAGCAGCTCTCATTCTTTAAACCCACTCTCTCATTCTTTAAACCTGCAAAGCATATAGGCAATAATAGAACAAACCTAACTACCATTAAAAAAAAAAAAAATACATAGATACTTCAAGTTCCTTGTCTCTAGAAAAAAACCCTGGCTCAAACTTCACATGAAAAATGTGAAGTTCTTAAGGAGTGTTTGTAAAAGAACAAAGGCCCAGGTTTCCTGAGTTCACAGGACATGTTGTCAGCTACTGCCAAACCGTGCAACTTCACTGACAACCGAGTTACAAAACTAGAATCTCAAGAAAAGTGTTTTCAATTATTCAGCTCAATTATGTCACCAATTTACAGGGTTAGGAATGTTTTTTCACGTTATCATTGTTTGAAAAAACTCTGGTTTGAAGTAACTGAATTCAAATCCACTGTGCAAAGCAAGCACAAAGAATGCAAAGTGGATTAACACAGATACGTTCTAACCAATATACATACATCGAGGTACAGTAACACACCAATTACTGCAGTACAGGTCATTATTATTTTAATATATCAGAGGAAAAATTAGTCTAGATGAAGGTGCTATATTTACCAAACTATACTGTATATTATCTCAATTATGTCTACTTTAGTGTATGCGTACCTATTTATCTGTGGGTCCACATGTACATATTTAGAATGTAGGAAAAATGTATTGAAATGTGTGAGGATATAGCATCTTAGGAAACCAACTGCATTGTACTTTCCTATAATAATACCATAGGACCTTTATTTCGAGACATTATTATATGAACAAGAAAAATCATAATTTAGAAACCAAGATTAATTTTCTTCTCCCATTTATTATCTGAGTAATTATCAAGCAAAATGCCATGGGAGAAAGAAAACAACTACTTCCCACCTTAAACAATTTCATCAGCATACCTCATCTGACGACAGTGCTAAGGAGTGCGAGAAACCTGGGGTTTTAGGTTCTGCTCCTAAACCACTCAAATCAGCTGAACTTGTGCTGCTGGGACTGAAATCATCATTGAACGTGAAATTCTGCGAAGAAAAAGATGAGTTAGAATGAACAAAGGATCTCATACACGCATCTAGAAGGGAAATTTGCTTTCTGTCTTCCAGGTTGGCATAGTTCAGGAGTGATTTCAATCATTCACCAAACCAGTTACAATACACATGAGGAAGCCTAATTTTTAGTATTGTTAATATTTATAGAATACACAGTATTTCTATCACTGTGTACTTCAAGAGACACCTTTGCCAGCTTAATGCCTCAATGAATAGCAATGAGGTCTGAAAGCAATTTCCAGACTCCCTCTTAAGATGCTGGCTCTCATCCTGGAGCTAAATTACTGCTTCCGCAGGTTAATCACTAGCATTTTACTGTCCTCCAAGTATGTAGGACAAGTGTAGCACAGGCAGTAGGACAAAGAATAGGACAGAGGATTAATTAGCAGAGAGAAGTGAAAATTGCTATTGAAAGAGCAAGGAGAATATCCTGCGAGTCCATCTCCAAGTCCCAAATAATCTCCTAGAAAAGTGAAAGGATCCTCCCTCTTTGCCTATACCTTTAGAAAAAACTGAAATTGAAAGTAAAAGAGATCTTTCGATATTGAATGTTATTTACTGAACTAACAGCCATAAAACAAACCTGTTTTTTCTTAACAATGCAATGACAGACATCACACCTTACAGCAAGGATAGCAAAAGCATGCACTTATTTTCTAGGAATACAGCAAAATTACCATCAGAAGACAAAAATTAACAAGTATTTCACATTAGAGTGAAAACCATAAAAAAACAAAATCTACAAAAAATTAAGGATGCTATGATACTCCATTTCATTTCAATATACAGTTGATGATAGAGACCTCTCACCTCTATGCTAATCTAACACCTAAATGAATATAAAATTCAATTCACCTTTTGACATTTAAAAAATAGATCCAAACATCAAAACCAAGAACAACACTAAAAACCATATCCTCTTATCCACCCCCTCCCAAGATAACTGACCTATCTTTCATGAAAACAAGAAGTCTTCCAAAAATATCAAGTGTTGTTCCTCTTAGTTTTGCTGTAAATCCAACTAAATATTGGTATCACGCTGTGCTTTATAAACCTGAATAGCAGTATAGGAACTGTTAATTTAAGAGCTTGCAAACTTTACAGAAAACATCAAAATGTTTTTGTAATTGGTTTTCCCACACCTACGTTTAGAATCCCTGTTCTGCTTTCCCTAACTCTTTATAGGTAAGAAGAAAATCCAAGCAGCTTCCTTTAATATGCAAACTTTTAGCCCCCACAACTTTCTTAGGCCAGGAGTTCAACAGCTCTACCTCCTGTTGTGTGAAGAACATCTTTTTCAAGCACTCTGATTTTTCTTTCACCTCTATTTTGTGCAAGCTTCAGCCTTACAATGAATTTAAGTCTTTAAAATTTAATTTTCTATAGCAAAAACACAAGATAGCCAAGGCCTGCTAATAATTATGATAGCAGGACAAAATGCCCCTCCAAAACCTCAACCTAATATTAACTGTAAAAGGAGGTGCTTTTTTCCCCATTTGAAAATTATTTTTATACAATGTTTGTTTAAAGGCACAAATAGGATTTACATGTCTAATGCTCATCTTTCTTTTTCAGAAGGAACTGGGTAACTGATTAGTTTCTCTTTAATCTTCAGAGATTTCATCTGTGGTCTTCTCTATTAACCTGATTTGGTCTGGTCAGCCTTGTGTTGCTCTCTCTACCAGGTAACACAAGCACAGCCATGTCCTTGCATAGTTTGGTGCACAGCAGAAGTAAGGTATCACCAGCTTTTGGCACCAAAAGAGTAAGAAATGCCTGTGGAAACTGCTATTATGTACATGCATGTGTTTGTAGAAGACAGAGAAATTCGATTTCTGATTCATATTCCTGTACATAAAGCTGAGAACCATATCTGTTTCTTTTTACCAGACCAGTATAAAAAGTCAACTGCTACAAGTTATAAGATACAGGCAGAGAAATGTTTTCCAGAAGTGAAAATAAACATGAAAAAGCTAAGTGTATTACTATAGCTAAGGGTTATTTAAGGAGTTATCATGCTGAAACATTCATGCACATAGAAAGGAATCACACAGATGTATTAAATTGCAATAGTTCATATTTACAGTTCAAGCACCTTCATACAGAGAATTAAATCCAACATCTAGCATGCATGACAAACAGATTTCATCATTGGGGGAAAAAAGGCAGATGACTGACAGCATACAGCATTTCTTCACTTGCAAACACCTCATTTGAGCATGGGTAGGTATTCCCACAATCAGTCCTGAAGAATGCAGAAAATATCTATAATTTAATACATAAATCTAGCATTTGTTCAGTGGATCCAAATGCTAATTTCCACTGGCACCACTTGCTTTTGTTACAGTACAGCACACCACAGTTAGTTTACTGAATTAATGTACATTAAGACAGAGTAAAAAGGTAGAATGTGGAATGGTACAATGACAAAGATGTTCTTTTTGGATGAGCTTTTACCGTACAATGAACACCATGCACTGTTTATTGTAGTAGTCACATATTGGCCTGTTCTTTTTCCAGAAACATGAAGCCAATTATGCCACTCAACACAGTGGGAATAAGGTAGTTTTTATTTTCTACCTTTGACCCTTTTTTAGCTGGACTTATATTTTCAGAGGAAGGTTCAGTTGAGCTGGTAGGTGATGGTAGGTTGCTAGAAGAATTGGATCCCTTGCCACTCTCTCCATACCATGTGAATGGTACACAGTGTGGGAGAGAGAAGGATCGCTCTGCTAAAGATTTACTGTTTGCTGATTTCTGCAGCATCTCTCTGGTGGTCCTATTTAAGAGAAAGGAGCAGGAATATGTGTTAGATTATAAAATAAGAGAAAACAAAACGCTACAGAGGCAGTTAACTGTAAAATGAGTAACTTTCCCAGTAACTGTGACTAAAGAACTGAGTGGCACGCAGCTGGTAGGGGCATGCCTGAAATCTCTCTTTCAGCAAAAGAAAAAAGTGAGTTCTTTTGATTCTGTTTCTAACTCGAGCTCTCTTAGACAACACACCCCCAGCAAATGGAGACAGACGCCAGCCGAAAATGTCTGTACTCCCACCGTTCGGATGTGAAACAGCTCCAGTCAGGAAGCCACATGTGGTGGTAGTGCATTTCTGAGCCCCAGTGGTATCTCAGCATGATTAAATAGGTTAGACTCAGCACTGACCCAAGTGGGTTCTGCTTGCCAGACAAGGTCTGGCTTGGATTTTGAGCACAGGCAGAATGAATGAGATGCATCTGGATCTATCTATGGAGATCTGCCTTTGTTACAACAGCTAAATACTGACAGAGTATTACTGTCTTGATTTTAAAGTTATTAAACATTAAAAATATTAATACAGAAAAATGAAAGAAATACCTATGTGATATTATCAGCTTCTCCCTTTGCAGTAACAAAGATTGCAGTGGATAATGTGATCAAGGCAAAGGTAACAGGTATAAAATAATATGTCTAAATTATTCACTAAATATATCATGTCAACAGTACAGCATGTAAATTGAAAATAACTATGCAAAGTCTCTGCCTCAGAGAACTTATGCATCTGTCATATTCTCATATTATTTATATCAATGAATACATTACTGTTTCAGACCATTAAACTTCTACTGCTCTTAGCAGCCACCAGAAATTGCACCTATCTAAACCTCCCCTCAACTTTTGACCTTCTGGACAGCTTCTAAATCATTATTAACATAATCACTAGAGCTTTGTCTATTATGGATGAAACTCAGGTTGTCAAAGGGTCCTCACCCATGGAAGCAGCAGAAGAATCTTTCCTCCCTTTAGCTACATAAAGGTAGATGTATCTGACCCAGTCCTGTACTCCTCCCTCACCCTCTAATCTTGCTTGAAAGTAGAAAGATAAAACAAATTATGTTGCCTGAATCACCTAGCTTCAGGCAGGGCAATATATGCTTCTTACTAAAAATGGGGAATTTTTAAATATGTTACATTAGCACTAGTCTTAGGAATTAATTCAGGATTTTATTTACACATTCTGAGTGCTATTTTTTGGCAATGGCAAAATAATGCATGCAACATCCATCTGACAGCGTGATTAATTCTACATCAATCAGTTGCTGTAATGGACATAATTATAACAGGATGCTGTCCTTTGATCATCTTCCTTCTTTCAAAGAGCTTATATAGCTTTGGACTGTAGAGAAAACATCCTCACATTTCTTCTGAAGCAAATTATTTCGAGTTAGTAACAAAGGAAGTGACGAGGGTTTAAAAAGTTATACTGAAATAGTAACATTCCAGTTTACAGAGGCACAGGGAGAATTATAAATGCTTACGAATTTTGACTTTGAAAGCAGTATTAAACTTTGCTTTTAGTAACTGTATCCAAACTCAGAAATATTAACAAACAATACAAATAACTGATTTATCAAATGGTCTAATAAGCAACTGAACTCTCTACGCCGAGATCTGCTTTCTCTAAGGAAGATACCCACGAGATCTCAGAAACATCTGTAAGGTACTGTGTTGGTATAAGGAAGATATCAAGTTCTCGCAAACAAGTGTACATTCATCTCCCCCACCCTGTGGCTCGGTATTTAAATGCTACGTGATGTTTAATACCCTGCTGAGGGCACTAGCTGCCTTAAAGCTACACAGAGGTGCAGAGAATTTGCTTTAACAAATCCCTCCCTGTCACTAGGGAAATCCAGCAGCGAGTATCACTAACTCCAGGACACACTGCAAGCAGACACACCAGTGGAACCAACTGGAACAGGTTTTCTGACAGCAGTGCAGAGGCGACGACTGCTGCCTACGATCATTGAAGATCCTGCCAGGTATTTGCAGGATACAAATGTACAAATGCACGCTGAGACAGAACACTGCACTTCAGTACAGTGTGCCCAAGGCAGCAAGGCAGAAGTCTAAGGTTTCTTTTGCTTTTCTGATTTTACGGAGCTACACAATGTACTTGTCACTGCGTTGCCATACATTAGACTGTCAGCAAAACTCCACAAACGGCTACATACTGGTTTTCCACCACAATGATTTTCTGAGTAGCATTCAAAGTTTGCTTTCTTCTGATAGCTCTTTCATCATGTAGGTTTTCTTTTGCATTGTTTTATGTGCACAGAGTTGCTGAGTTGCTATGTCCTCTCTAGACTTCTGGAATGTATTAAGTATGCTTAGCACTGTTAACATTAACTTGTTTTATACCTGGAACCAGGTATCACCCCCTGTAGCTGTGATCATGTCAGACTCATCAGCACCTGAGGAGAGACCTTCAGTAAAAATCTACACTAGCTTTTTCAGAGAAGATTGCTTCCTGCCATTTTGAAAATTCATTTATTTATTCAGAGTTCAGACGCCGGTGATGTGGTCGCATCAGATCTCACAAGGAATTCACAATTCCTTCCCTGAGAGTCAGTGATGTGACGAATGCAGTCAGCATTTTTCCTATCTATTTCCAACTTATGATGTTCATCTTCAGAAACAAACCCTTCTGAAAGCATTCCTGATGTGGATGCTGTGAAAATGCAGTGAACAGCTGCTGCCCATCCTCGCTCTGGGGGCTTTTTAAAAAAAAAAAAAAGTGGAATTGTGTCAAGATTTCTGGTTCACGGGTATTATTAACTGACTGTGACTCTGATGATAACCTATTTCTGGAAATCCCATTAGTGGATGCAACAGTAGTAGTGATGCCACGATATTATAAGCCTCCAAATGTTTTTAGATTGTGTTTTAGTCTTTCATTAGTTAAGAAATCTAGGTTTGTGAGCTCAGAAGGTTATCTCAAAGCTTAACACTTATTTATATGAAGTCAGTGGGACTTTTAATGTCCCCATCTGCTAGGATGATTATGTTTTTCCAATGTTTCTGGCATATAATTCCTTAGATCCTCAAATCTTTTACCCATACCTACTGCCATAGGTGACCCTAATAGCTTCTTTCTCTTTCCGCTTCTTGCCCTTGTTTGAACTCCTTCTCAAGGGAGCCCTACAAGAATATTAGAAAACATCAGGAAACATCTTCGAAATTTTACTTTCAATGCTTTTAATTAAAAAAATAAGTATTTTAAATAACAAAATGCTTACCCAAGATCTGCAAGTTTTCGCTTTAGTTTTTCTGTATGCCCTATAGTAGGGCTAGTTGTTCTTGCTGCGTGAGCACATGTGGCACCATCTAGGATACATTTGTACATGGAAGAATGTACATTATTATTTTTAATTGCTACTGATAGCTATTCCACTTTCCATCCAGAACAGTTTGTGTATCTTTTCATAATTAGATACGCATACATGTACACGTGTGTGAGTACACAATTTAATTAGGTGAATTCTTCTCATTTTCAAGAAGATGGTGTGAAGAAAAATAAAAATAAAAAAATACTTTCAGAATTTGAAAATACACATGAAGAAATCTTATTTTAATTGGAGAAAATGAAAAGTTAATTTTGTTTGCGTTTTAATGAATATATAGTAAGTCAAACAACACAAAAGATTTACAGGTAAACATGACAGTGAATCTATTTTTAAACTCAGCAGTAGCCACTTAAGTTTCTTTTTATAGAATTCATTTGGTATGTATGCTTTACTTTCAAAATGACTCTTGAAATACTCTCTTCAACTTTGGAGCCAAGGGTACCTTTTATGATGGACATCCTAGGCAACAGTTATCTGTTTAGCTTGAACACCTTTGTTAAAATAAATGTTTCACTTGAAATCCAACCATTCTGAATTAAAAAAAAAAAGTAGCTTAGTTAATAAATTTGCCCTGAGACGTCTACCAATTTTTGATCTGTTACATTAACACTTCCTAAAGAGGAAACAGCCTGCAGTAACTATAAAGCCAAAACAACAAATCTGAGTCTGCAAAACATCCTGAGAAATCTACATGGAAGCTAAAAGAAAACAGACAGCAGCTGAAAATTCAGACACAGTTTCTGTGATTCCTAAACATAAAGAGTGTCCCCAAATACTCTAGAGGAAGCAAATGAAGGTCAGTCATTCATGTCACTAGCGGTTTGGTGACTTTTACAACGTGACTTTTAACTGAAAGCACTGCTGCGTTTGTGGATTTCTCCTACCGTAGCTGAGATAAATTAAGCCCTCAGAATTAACCCAAAATACCACAGCACTATCACAGGACAGTCAACTATGTGTACAGAACTTTGTACATTGCTTTGTGGACAGTATTTGGCCAAGTTTTCATTCAAGTAAAAAAATCAGTGCGCAACTGGTTCATAAACCCTGGCAGAAGCAGGAAAGTAAGCTTCGTGCAATACCCGCACTCTAAAAGCTATTACTACCAACACAAGTCCTTATGTTAAAAAAACATTCAAGAACAACTGACAAGTAACCTCATGTCAAAAAAGCAAACAAAAAACCAGTTGTATGAAGAATGACAAAAGCAAAGCGAAGTTTCCAGAGGAGAAACCCATTCCCCAGGGAAGCCGAGGAGAATTTCAGGCAATGCACGCTTTGCATCAACCCTACACTGTGCACGCTCCTCTCCTTTCTCCTCTTACGGTTCCTCTTTCACCTTTAATGTATACTTCTCATTTAACCACTGTCAAAATTGCCATTTTCAAGAACAAAACCCATAATGTTTATTTTCACACTAGCTATTCATAGGCAGTAGGGCTTGGGGGCCAGGGGCACTGTGCACTTTTTTGAGAAACTTTTTAATGACAGTAAATGAAACTATAAGGTACACTGCTTTTGTGGTGGGCAAATAATGAAAACATTCAGTAGCTAGAGGTTTTGCTGCTGTAGTAGAAGAAATAATCTGGAGTGCTCAGCAGGGACACACAGCAGCTACCTGGAATGGCAGACTTCTGTTTGGGCTCTTGTATCACTGTGCTCCCGCTCACATGCAGCTTGGCCCAGCCAGGGCCCTCTGAATAATGTCGGTTTGCTGGGGAAAACATTCACGCTGGCTATGGGATACAGTGGAAGATGGATGCGCCAAGTCCCAAAACCAGCTTCAGTGGCAGAGTAGATTTGAATGTACAGGGTCTTGCCCACGGGGGGGTACTCAGTGTGTGGCACATGGCAGTGGCCACAAACCAGGGCTGCAGATGGATTAAACCAGAAGCTGTTTAATCCATCACTTTCAGCCCCAAGGAGTTGGTCTAAGTAATCAGTGGCTGATGGATGTGAAAGGAGACTAGACCTAACTTTCTTCTCCAAGGTCACAAAACAGTTGCAGCCAGCCTCACAGCAGCGGACTATTGCCCACAGGGCTCGGCTGCCTTGTCAAAGGCTGCTGTTGCATAAAACAGGCAGAACTAAGAAAATAATCATACACATACGTGAAAAAGTTGTGCTTAAAAGATGAACAAGCAAAATTCCTCATCATTTTGCAATGAAACTGATCTCATGCCACTTCAGCTCTTCCCACAACACTGCAGGATCTCGTAAGAAAAAAAAGAGAGAGACAAGTGTGAGCTTGCTAACGCTCACTTTTGCTAATGAAAGATTAATCAATGGACACACATGTGTCCACAGATGTGCTCTCTTTCCATCTCTATAAAAACCCTATCTGAACACACAGAACAAACACAATGGCCCCTTTAATTTTCTGACCTGTAAGAGTTTGACAGCCACATTAATAACCAATTAAAATAGTATTGCTGTATCACTCGTTGCCAAACAACTCTGTTGGGATATTTTCTTTACTAAATGCAAATTTTCCATTTGAAACTAAATTTCTCCAGTTTAATTTTCATGTACTCATCAGAATCTGGATAGACCTGAAAGCACAGGTTGTTTACTTAACAGTCAGACTGGGGAAAGCATGACATCAATATTTAGACAGAGATTTATTTTTCAAACCTGAACTGGAAAGAGCAATACAGTGGGTGGAATATAAGACCTTATTCCTTACACTGCAAGACTAGTCTCCACCAAAGTTTTATCAAGATATTTTTCACGCATCAGTTGGAAATGCAGGATTTACGACTTCACTGATAAACCAATCATACACTCAACCTGAAGAAAGAGTTTGGGAAGCCACATTCTTACGTTCACACCCCTACTTCTACCGAAGTAAATACTGAATTTAACTTTGATTCATTAACAATTACACAATTAGAAACTGGACAATTAGACTAGCAATTTCAGAACCCGTGTAAAATGCTAGCATATATTAACCTATCCTAAATTCAACAAAATTTCATTAGCTGTCTTTTAGGAATCTGTGTGAAAGCCCTGTATGAAGATGAAGAAAAGGAGGTTGTAAATCAGTGGCAAGTCTTTTCAGACACACAGACAAACAAAAATCCTCAAAAAATTGTTCTTTTCAGTTAATTTAAGTAAGCCAAAGTCTGTTAAGAACTTATCCAGACCTATTCCCACAGTCCTCACTTCTAAACAATTTTTATCATGTTTTTTAGCTTAAGTGACAGTTAAGAGAATGCAAGGTGCATAGTAAGAATGCTGAAGTTGTCTAAAATGCTGATTTTGACTTCACAAGGCATCTAAAAAGGAGGGCTCAGTATTCTGTGCCATATTGAATTGTTAATGCATTTAATAAACTGGTATCTGAGACAGGTACCTGAGCTAGGTACGATTGTACCACATTTTATCCAGCTTACATTTAAAAATTCTGAATTAAATAAATAACATCGTGGCCAACCTCCCCAAGAAATTACTTGGTATTTTTCTGCTGTAAATGAAGGGTCTCCAGACACTAACCTCTTGTTTAATCTAGATTATGCTGCCTTCAGCAATTAAAAGCTACAATCTGTTATTCTGGCTTTACACTCCTTTCCCCACCCTCCAAAAAAAGCATCTAGCAGTGCCAAAATCACATAATTCGAATAAGTACACTGTGTTAAGCACGTTTCTAATACAGAAATGTCCCAAGGTCCAACAGTTTTGTTTTTTTAAGACAAAATAAAAGATTTTCTTACAGGCAACTTCCCTCTAACTTTTTCAGTGAGTTCTAAGAAAGAAAAAAAAAAGAAAGGAAACAGTTCCTGATTTCATTTTAAACTTTGACCTTTTCTTATACCATCATACAAGGTCATTTGTAATTTTTTCACTTCCAGGGAGAAGAAAGAAGTTATGAGATGACAGCCTTCTACTTGCTAAGGTCCTACTACACAACAAAAGTTCATAAAGTAGACGTGAGCAAAATGAGGATCAATTTATTGTAAAAAATGTAATACCTTTATTCTGTAAAATATTCCTGCCAGTTGGGTGATGCAAAGGAGATGCTTCAGAGCTGTGCCCAGATTTTGAAGGAGAGGAAAGTGGAGTGTCTCCCCGAGCATGCGGGGAAAGGACATCTCCTTTCTGGCGCTGCCCTTCTTCTTGGTTTTCAGTTAGGTTGTCAAGTGAGATTGCTGCACTGCTAGCCACGGGGGAGAGGGAGGAAGCACCAGAATCTGATGCTGGTGAGGATGCTCTCATGCATAAGGGCAGTGGTGATTTTGAAATGTGCATGGGACTACTGTAACTGTTTGACGGCTGTTGGTATAAGAGATTATAAAGCAGGTTATACCATTTAGTAACCAATCAGAGTAAGGTTTACTTTGAACATGCAATTCTTTTATTCATTATTTAGCCTTCTATTTGTACGAAATGCTTTAGCAATTCATACCATTACCTCTTGATACCACAGTGTTGTTTATTGGTATTTGCTTTCAGACGGAAGTCAGAACAGGACAAAACGAGTGAATATCATATTAACAAATTGATATCAAATATTATCAAATTAACAAATAGAGAAATGCATGACTCGGGTTCCTTTCACCTCCTGCATAAATGAAAGGACCCACTCTGCATTATAAAGCACACATACATCAGAAAGCCCAGGATTCCTGTTAAAAAAAAAACACAACAAAAACAAAAAACCAGGTGTGCTGATTCAAAGGAGTCCGGACTCGCACATCACTCAAGGACATTCATAGCATACTGGCCACAGAGGAATACATACTGCCTGTGCTACAATGAAAGGACAAAGACAGAGGATGAAATGATTTACAGGGGCAATCTAGCATTCTATAGGAAACCTGAAAGAGAGGGTAGAGTCCTTCTCACCTTTCGTTCAAGGCTGTCCTCTCCATCAGTTGAGCTGATGCTATCATATAGCCTTGTTCTAGAAGGCCTCTGCCGCTTGTTCTTCACGGAAAGCTGAGCTCGAGTCTTCAGAGCTTTGGAGTCGAGTCTCTCTGTTTCTGGCACTGCTTCATTGAAATCTGTATGGAAACATGATTTGAAGCTATTTAACAAAATAATCTTTCACTACTTTTTCTTATGACGGGACCTGCAATTGTGCGTACATGCACTTTGCATGTTTTACTTGTACCTGTACCTTCCTAACTGTTAAGTACACATGGGAAAAAAAAAAGGTTCGTTGCATAAGCCATTAACAACTTTATCTATAAAGCTCCAGTAAGCAAAGAATCAACTGCAAATATTTAAAAATTCAACAAATGATTCCCATTGTTATGTGAAGGACCACACAAAACCAGCTGTACTAGCCCAGAAAGCAGGTCCACTTAGACTCCCTCAGAGGGACTTGCATGTGCTTGGCCTGAAGAGAGTTTTCCTACATCAGGGCATAAAGCACAGGAATCCTCGTCTCACTGCTCTTTGACAGACATTTCCCAGCATCTGGATGAATATACCAATTTAGACCCATGGGACCAATTCTGTCCTTTCGAGCCTCTTGAGGACGAGGGACTGGACTGACATTTTTTCCCACAGCTGCCCTACTAAGCGTTTCCCCTGTAACTTCATCAGTTTTGCACGCTGCTCGTCAAGTTACAGAAGAAATATCTAGAGTAGTCCTCAGGCTGCTCTACATTTTATCATAATCAGAATGGCTTACAAATTTGAAGAACATGATTTGTTCTCTCCTGTACTGAATGTCCCCCAAAATAACCTTGTACAATATATGCAAATTATGAGCAAGTGATGTCTGCGGTCAGTAGCGCACAGAGTGACACAGGTAGCATCCAAATGATCAGATAACCATTTGTGACCGGATTGCTCTACAGGCTGCTTTTCACAGAACTATGAAACAAGCGTTAAACTAATTCCTTTGGACCTACAGTGAAACAGTGCTCTTGTGAGCAAAGTATACTAAACACTTCATATATGTCTTGCCTCTACAAACAGAGCTAACATAACTGCACTTTTCTTAGCTATCAATCATCCACTAAAATGAAATCTCAGTATTCCAGCAAATTTAACATTTTACAAAGCTGCAATAAGACAAAACACATTTTAAAAGATGTTTTCACATTTTACACCAGACAAGGAATAGATTCTTCATGGTTTTAACTTTTTGCAGTCCTCATAGTACAAATCAAACCAGAATCCATTAGATTTATTTACTTGTCTAAGTAAGTACTGCATTCATAACACACTAATTCATTAGAAGCTGATCTTACAGACATTTTTGTTTTAAACAAATATAAACGGGGACATCTTATCCTCACTGAAGCCAATGAAGAAACTCTGACCAACTTGAGCAAAGCTGACATTATTCCCATTGCATTCCATGGCATCCTGGCCTTCAGTCTCAGAGAACACGAATTCACCAAGGGTGGAACCAACTTTCCACCACCAAAATGGAGAGCTCTTGCTCTCCCTCCTGCTGTCCCAGGCCCTGGCTCCGAGTGACACCCTTCCACCCCCCACTCCCTCCAAGGATTTGGACTGCAGCTTGCTAATTCAAATGAGTGACCCAGCAGAAACTATCCAATTTTAGGCTGATTCTCCAACCTCTTCCCCTCTTAGATCAGTTTTCTGTTATTTCAGTGAATCAGCATGTGCACAGAATTGTGTAAGTGCTGGAATGGGGCAATGGAAGAGGCAGAACCAGGCAGCTGGACAAAGGCAGGGATGGTGTAGAATCTCCCATTTCAACAGTAATGATCTCTCAGTTCAGCTCAAACTGTCTCTTGAAATCAGAGCCACATGTTGAGTTAGTATGCCAGTAAATAACTGAGGGGTAAGACCCATTCAAACTCATTTTTATTTTTGCAGATTTATGTTGTCTTAAGGCACTGCAAAGACTTCCAGTACCATGTTTGGTTTTTCTTCTTTGTGTAAGAGTTAAACTCTACACACAGATGACACTACGGAATCATTAGCATTGTCTGACTTGTAATTATGCTTCCACAGTAAGTATTCAATAATACTTATCGATATATATTCGATATGCTGCAGGATAACTGCACATTTCCGTGACTTGAACTGCTTATATTTGTTCTTTCAGTTATATGCACTTCCAAAAATCCTTTCCTTTCACTGCTGAAATTATGCAAACTATTGACATAGCACTGCAAACACTTATTCACTTCAGTGGTCACATTGGCCTTGCTTAAGCAACATACCACCTGGGCTGGAGCTTACTGCTGCCTCCACCCCAGAGCTGGGCTGCTGGCGCTCAACAGCAGCGCTCCGGTGCACTGCAGGTACCCGACCGAGGTTCAGCCTGCGGCAAGGACAGACCTCACACAGCATCAGTAAGGGCTCCTTTTTCGTCAGAAGCTGCATTTAAGCTGGGCTCCTGCCCTCAGACCATGTACGCTGTGGATCCAGACCTGAGCCACAGCCCTCGGACCTGCCTCCCCACCATGAACTTGCCCAGGCTCTCAGCAGACCCCAGTTTCCATCACTGGACCTGCCCAGCTCGCTACACTTGGGCTCTTGTTGGGTGGTCTCTGCCCCAGCCACGTGTGCTCTCATTCTCAGTCCCAGCTCCCTCTTCTGCAAGGAGCCGCCGGCCCTCGCTGCTCCCCAGCACAAACACGCACCTCACGTGTTTGTCTAGGAATCTCCCAACCCACTGGGGAGCCTGATAAATCTCTCACATAAAAGTTATAACAGATTTTATTTTGCTCTCAGAGCAGATGTAATTAGACTTTCTTTCAGCAGGCGTTGAACCACTTGATTCCCATGGGCTTCCATCTGAATTACTTCAGTACCACTGTGGAGCAGGTAAGAGTTCACCTGTCCTCCCACTGCTTTTCCATTATACAGGCTGATAGATTTCAAAATCTCCTTCTGTGAACTGATGTATCGCTGGGTATCCCAAGGCACCCAGAAAATATAGCCATCAAAGCGGCTTGAACAGGCATTTGCACCGAGATGAGCAAATACCGTCAAAGTTGGCATCAGCACTGAACCGATCAAACCACTGACTCCTTCCAGTAAATAGTTTCTCTACTACAGGCACAGCTCATGACCACTAAACCAGAAAGCTAAAATGCACTTTATCTATTTTTCTGGACTGTCAGAATAAGTCACAGATTTGTAAAAGAAACACAATCCTCAGGCTTCTATTATTCCCTGGCAAAGCAAGGAAGAACTCTGTGGGCCGTACTGGTTTTTATTTTCTAACTTCCAGTGGTGTTACTGGCAGCCCCTCAAACCCAGTATGAGGTTATGTTACAGGAGTTGTAGAGTCTGCCCTGATGCTAAACACGGCCGGAGCACCTGCAGCGGCAGGATGGCTATGCTCGTATATATGTGAAGTCGCATCCATTAGTTCTTCCCAAATCTATTGCCACACAAGAATGTATTAATCACCTCAGATCACACTGAAGCAAAAAACATACTTGGCATCATTTTAATTAAGATATATATTCTTACATAACCTGTTTTTGGCGGGGAAGACAGGCCTGCAAACTTCAGAATAAAAATTACGGGATGTGGCTGCATACACACAGTCCCACCCCACAAACGTAATGCTGAGACTCGAGAAGAAACCTGTGTTATATTCACCAAATAAAATCCAGCAAAGAGACAGGAGCACTTCCACAAACGTCACAGAGACAGCGTACACAACAGACTGCCCCCAGAGGAACTCTGCTCATCCTCCAAAGACATCGTGGACATCTCTCTCGCCCTTTATAGCTCCTCTGCAAACATCCACGGAGTGATTAGGAAGTACAGTAATTATTAGTGATTAGTATTACTAGACAATGGCAAGTCCTTTTCTTAAAAGGTTTACACAAGGGTGATACGGAGACACGGGCTCTTTGCAGAGCAAGTATCACTACCTTACTGTCTGAGACAGACTTCAGAGGCTTTGATACAGAATTTAGTGGCAAAGGTATATGGAACCCAAAGAGTGCTGCAGTATGTTTAGGGATCTCTCTATTTTGAAAATGGGCTTTTCTTTTTCCCCTGTTAAAAATATAAATCCAGCCTGGAACCCAAGGTCTAACTATGCTTTTTCTGCTTTCAAAAAATCATTGCTCATTGCCTACTTTTCCTAGCAAATAATCTGTGTTTGTATTCAGGCGGTTAAACTTGGGCATTTAAATTCACAGATCGTCTATTCTAACTCTCAAAAGTACTGAACACTAGTAACATTTCTCCAGGGGAACATTTTTGCTATGAAAAACAGCATCTCTTGGAAAATGAAAAATTTCGTGCAAATATATGAGTTGAGAAATATAATTTGAAGGTCCTGACATGCAGAGTTCTAATGCTTTACAAAATATTTTCAAATTTTTAGAAAGAATTTTAGAAAGAGTTTTTTTTACATGTAGAAATACCTGGATTTCAGCTCTTGAGCCATGGATGTGTATTGATATTGTTACAACAGTAAGTGTAAACATGGTTTTTGTGAGCCAGGTAAAGACACACTTTCCTCTCCTGGTGCAAACTAGTGGAAAGACTTCTGTTAACAGCGTTGTTAAGTATTAAATATTTTGTAACACTTACTGAGTCTCTATGGCAGTAGACCTTCTTGTCATCCTGAGTACTTTCCTGAACTTTAGAGGTTTCAGTATAATAAACACTTGCTACAAAGAAACACCTCTCTGAAGATTTGTGGAAACCAGTTCCACAAGGTCTGCAGATCACCAAAATACTGTTTCAGCAGGACTAGCTCTTTTTTAGACACACATTTTGTTAAAAATGTAATTCAGATTGATTTGTTTGTAAAGCAATATTCAGTTTGGGTCCACACATGAAATAACTGCTAAAATATCAATTTTAATAAAACATCTCTGTGCTTGCTAGAAATCTATTTATTTAGTAATGTAATGAATTCTTTTCCACCAGAGAAATAAGAAGTATTATAGTTTATTTAAAATTAAATTCTATACGGGAACAGAGTCTGGTGATCCCTTGTCAGAATCCCAACACCTCCAACACCTGTTTTTACAGATGTTACTAAATACACAGTAAGTATTGCTCCTTGCGCCAAGCAATTTTATTCCAAGGCTGTGGACCTAACATTGGCTTTAATTCTGCGTATACTTCAACAGTGAGGAACCACTTGCAAGTACAGAACTTTAACTAAAGCGGTTTAAGTTATCCGTATATTTTCACTGGCACAGCCTGAAAAAAGGGAATTATTTTTCCTATGCAAAACAAGTAAAGGTTAGAGTCACCATGCTGACAGCATCTATCTGGATCTCAGTGTTGCCATAAATTGTTTTGGCTCTTTAGTAATGTAGAACAAAGTCTTGCAAATCTTATGTTGAAAATCAGGGCGTGCTACAGCTGAGTAAGATTTTTAATTAGTGTGCTACTAAAGAATTTGCGTTTTCTTCACAAAAGGCTCCATTCTGAGAAATGGTGAGTGCCACCTACGTGGTTCCTTTTGATGCCTGTACCAAGGTGGGATCAGAACCTGCAGAGATCCATTCAAAATGGTAGATTTAACATTTGTTTTTCTCATTCTGGTAACTTTGTTCTTGTTTGATCTTTGATGGTTGGGTAATTAAGGACAGATTTAGGAACACAGGAGAAAATACAGTTTTCTCCTACTTCATTAACGTAAGAGAAGCATTGAATTAAACCTAAATGTTGATGGCATCCCACTTGAAAGCTTTAAGAAATCAATAATGATCTTTGCTTTATTAGAACTTAATCACTTCCATTTCTTTCCTATTCTGGGACTCTATATTTGCATTATTTGGTATAAACTTGATGCAGCTGTCATGAGATACTGAATTTCAGAAAAATAACAACATCTCTGCATTTTTAATTGTTTCTTCTAAATCCAAAATGATAACCATACTACTTACATACGTATTAATAGGAGTTATGGTTTGGTTTAAACAAACCTTGACTTAAGCCATCCAGGCAGGTCACTTGCTTAGTATCTAGGTTTTCCACTGGATCTCCTCTAGAAACTTCTCCAAAAGATGTCTGCCTTTCAAAAATATTGTTGTTATTGTTAACCTGGCTCCCATTTTGCTTCATTAGCCTGAAAACTTCTGCTTCCAAGTCTCGTATCTGTAAGAAATACAACACAGTGTTACCCCCAGCACACACATCTGTAAGATACGTTTTTTTTCCAGAATATCAGACAGAATTGTCCTATTCTTCAAATATGAGAGTCAATACTACTCACACGAGCTTGTAAGCCTTGAACTTCTGCAAGGTGTGCTTTCTCCAAATCTTCTATTTTCTTTCGTTCAGCTTCCTGGCGTTTGATGAAGTCAAGTTCTCTTAGGGAAAAAGAGATGTATTTGCTGTCATCAAAGCAATCAGATGCAAACAGAAAACAAAATGTTCTGATATGTCTTAAGCTGTGTACCAGAAAAATTTGTCCTTAACAAATACTTTATTACTAACCTAGTAAGAAATATGAACTGCAATTAGGAGAAAACCCTAAACAATTACTTAGTCTAAGTGAATATGCTAGGTGAAGATACAAAAATGGTAAGAGGAATTTATGTGAAAAGAAAAATCTCAGTTATTCTAACTGATAAAACTGTTAAATCAAAATAATTTTTTTAATAATCTGTATTTACAATGAAAACAATGTTAGCTTAGTTTATGCTGTGTTCTGTTGAAGGTAATGGAGCAAAATCTCTGTTTTGTTAGAGTATGACTACACTTCTTCACAGGAAGGACATCCATAAGTTTCCAGATACAAATCTAATTTTCTAGCTAGCTATAAGGGAATCTGTTAGGTGATTTTAGGAGTCTGACAGAATTAAAAACAACTGACTAGATCTTTTACTAACATAAAGCAGAATAACAACAAAAAGGCTATCCAAGCTCCTTCTAGCTATTCTCCCTACTTCATTTTAGTTTGAAAATCTAAGATGTTTGTGATAGAAAGCACACAAGATGCCAGCTAGCTCTGGAACAGTCATGAAATTCCAAGATGGGTAATGACACTTTGACTATCTAAACCCCTTTCTAATGGGATAGGATATTCACTTCTGCACTCCCAGTTGTCACTTGACATTGCTGTATGTTTTTGAGTTTTTGTCTTTAAATGAAGTATTTCAGCAGAAAATGAAGAAGTTGCTGCAAAAAAAGAAATCTGGGGGAATGGAAGCTGTTATAGGAAAAGATGTTATTATTCTTGCTAGCCATCAGGGAGAGGGGAACACAGGAAACAGAGGGGGCCAGGTAATCATCAGTTAGCTCAATTCAGCTCAAACATTCTTGGCATCTACGAGAAGAGGAAAAATAAAATGTAAAATTTAACAAAAAATGTTTCTTTTTGATGTTATATTAGTACACAGCAGGAGTGAATCCAGCTGACACAATACCAATATAAATTGCTGCAAACCTTGCTAATCAAATGCTTTACTGTGTTTACTCCTGGCTGTTTGCAATCACATTGAGTTATCTAGTAATTCCGAAACATTCCAACCTGGAATACTACAGTCTAAGTCTTTGTTTAGTTATAGTATTATTTTTCAACATTATTGAACTAATACTTGAATACTACTGACATTTTTCCATAATAGAGAGCCCATGTTTTTCATTTAAAAAAAAAAAAAAAAGTGAAAAATAGTGTTTACTTTACACGTGTTTAATAGTGGGTTTCAAATTTCAAAATATATCACACATATGTTTCCTATCTGGCCACTAAGTCATTTGCTGAGCCTGGCGTAGCTGCTTACTTTTGCTGAAAATCCTTGATTAATTTCTTTGCCTTGTTATATTTCTTCTCCAGAGCCTGATACTGGCTTTGCGTCTCCTTGAGGTGCTCATTCACCGTGTGACACAGGGTTTGTGCCTCAATCCAGTAACTCTCTAATTTCATCATCCTTTCCTTATTCTCCTCAATGTTCTGCTGGAGTTGAGTCTTCTCCAATTCCCACCTCACCTTCTCATTCTCAGCAGCCTGCAGCTGAACAAAAGAGCGGAGATTCCAGTCAGTAAAAGGTGCAAAGTGTACCCTAAAATCAGCGAATTAATAGCTATATAAGTAATAGGCTAGCAGTGAAAAGAGCATTCAATGACAAAGAACAGAGGTCAATACATACATTATTCTTCCTCATAAAATGAAGTAGAACTTTTGCTCTGTGCAGCCAGTACAGCCTCTGTGCTTCTCTGCGATATACCAACATGCTTTAAAACTGTCAATAGTGGAGTAGTTAGGCAAACCGCAGCGTTAATCAGTCAGTGGGGATGTATTTTGCTCTATGCATCTGGCTCAGGTGTCAGAAAGCATTCATACACTTCCATAAAATGAGAAATTTCTTATTTTGGGGGGAATCCGAGTTCCACACTCTGTCTATGATTTAGAGAACAATAGGAAAACAACAAATTGCATCTAACCTAACTACCTGCTTTTTTACCCAAATTATTCATGTCATAATCTTGCTTAATCTAGAAAGCCAAATAAAAGAGTTTGGAGCGTAATTCAAAATGTAACATTGGGTCATAACCTAGATCCTTTTTCATTTAAGAAGCACAGAGTTTTGCATCCAGTGCTGAAACTATGCCAGAACTATTAGGAGGACAGAGAGAACGTCTTATAAATACATGACTCGTTTTCTTTAAACTTGCTTACCGAGTTCTAAGGAGCTAATATGAAAAGAAAAATATGCCCTTGCTGTTGAAGATTTCAGGTGCTAATACTGCCAAATACATCAGCACTGCTTAACTCCATGACCAGTGCAGCTCCAACTGCATGTTTCACTACTTGGCACCAATAAGTCCAATGACTTTTTCCAAGTGACCTTAGAGAAGTCCAAATTTTACTGCTGAGTTTATAATAAACCTTATCTCCTTTGCTATTTTTTTTTTTGTTAGAATTTTTTTTTGTGTTAGGCTTCTCACTTCCCTGCTAAAGCTAGCTGCAGGTTTGAATGTTTGGTGCTGGATAAGGACTGGGTTGTTCAGCAGCTTGTATATTTTAGCTCCCAGGATTTATGGAAAACAAAAAATGCCTTAAGATTCTTGTTTACTTATCAAGGCTGTTTAATTTGCTCTAGGCGGTTCTGCTAGCACCAAGGATGATGCACACAAAACCAAAACAACTTGTTTGCAGTTTTATTAGTAATATGTCTAAACTAGCCACATTTTCTTTGGCTCTATGCAAACCACAAGGTAAAGAAGTCCAACACAAAAAGGCACATTAACCCTAATCTTGCAAATGCAATTGCACAGATGAATGTCTACGCTCACGCATTATTGCCGTGAAGTCAACAGGGCTCGGCACAATCCCAAGGGATTGACCGTGCAGCTCCGATTGCTAGACTGGAACTGGAAAGCAGAGGAAGAAAAGATTTCTGACTTTCTGAACTGAAACAGTAAAACAGGAATTGTCCTTACAGAAAATAGTTGCATTCTGAATTTGTTTTTAACAATAATTTATGCAGATTTGATAAACACTATGCAAAATACATGGTGAGTGCAAACAGTTGCTAGAAGGAAATAATAATCTAAAATCTTTTGCTGAAGTACAATTTTCTCTTTGCCTTCTTTTTATTTCCTTTACAATGTACTCAAACTCAAAGAGAAGGATGTCATTACAAAAACCTAATATTACTCAACAACTGAATTATCAGTTGACTTCCCATAAAGGTTATCCTAGTACAAAAAAAAAAATTTCTTTTTATTACTATAGCAAATTCAATCTAACAAATAGCAACCAATTGTGAGAAAATGTTTTCTGTTAAACCGGTAACCTTTTTCCTGAAGAACTGCAGCAATATGAAACAGCTCTTTTTCTTCAGTATACAAAAAAGTAATTTTTATCAAATACCTTTAAATAAATGATTTTTTTTACAAAAAAAAGTCAAAAAAACAGGAACTAACATAAGCAGGACACTTTAACATCACTGGTAAATAAAAAGCCTACTAACTTAGACTTGAATATTCAATCAAAATATAATTTAAAACACATTTTATAAAAAAGAAAATGCATTACAATTGTAAAACTAGAAATCTGCCATTTAGTCATTATGATACCCCTTAAAATGTATGTTTAATTGAAGCTACACAAGTTGGCAATTTCTCTTAATAGCAGCACTTAAGATTTTACTTGAAACTTTGAATAGAGAATATACACCAAGACAAGATTTAGCTGAGCCACTGTGCTTCTTAAGCAGCCTTTAATAAGGCCATTGACTTCTCCACCCACATAAAGATACAAGTCTTCAGATCTGATTTTGCATGAGAGGAAAAAAACAGCACGTATTAACCGCATATTGATTCTTACCTTCGTCTTCAGCTTCTGAATTTCAGCTTCTGTAACTGCGTGTTTGATTTGCAACTAAAATTGAAAATATAAAATAAACAAGTGAAGTCACAGAGAGTATTCCAGTATTTTTAAAGCCTCTGCTGCAAGTTGAATACCTTATTACATAGCAGAAGGCCTTGAAGAGTGCTGCAGTGCAGTAGATTGTAAATTAAAATGTCTAGCTTGCAAAATGACTCAGTCTGTGCAACCTAATTAAAGATAGGATGCCGTCTAACCACTCATAATTTCAAATCAGAACATCCAATCTGTTTAGCAAAGCCAAATGTCTTATGCTTAAAAAAAAATAGATGTTACCCTGCTGGGCTTTGCTCTCCTCTGATGTGAACGTGAAATACGTCCCAGTGCTGCCAGGAAGTCCCACCGCATTGATTAAAGCAGGCACGTTACAAAAAAGCAAATATGGAAATGAGTGATTTAAAAACTCAAGACGTCAGGAAAACCTCGAGGGAAGATTCCACATGTCTATTTTGTGCAAGAAAAAAGGTAAACTGATGCTGTCTTTCTCCATCATTAGCTGGAGTTATTCTGCTCCAGGTAGCTAATCCCAAGTGAAAGCAGTTACATGGGGAAACTGTAAAAACAGGAAATCGCATTCAAGCACACAAGATGTTTGCAAGTAGATTATCAGCCCAGGCAGCGTGCTGAAGGCTGTAGTTGCATTACCAAGCACTGTGCCACAGTAACAGTGGAGCTGTACAGCGAAAGGGTCAGCGCTGAGGGCCTGGCATCCACTTTCGGGGTGGATTTCTTTTGGACTAACCTACATTAGTCCGATTCTGTGGAGTGAATACTCATTAGCTCTTTGAGTGCATTGGGCAACGTCCTGAAACATCTTTAGTTTTACCCCAAAGGTCTCCTATTCGCAGGCTCCAAGAACACTCTGAAGTACGAATCGAATCACAGCTTCAACAGCATAAACCAATGCAAATGGAAATGATCAGGCACGTGCACCCAATACCGGCCCGCATGCAAATCCCTGCTGCTTTATTATTTAGAGCAGGCAGCATAGACAAACTTCTGACAGGCCCCAAACCCTGACATCCAAAGCACTGTTTAATCTGAACGAGTGACTTGTGTGTGTTGGGTTGAGGGCAAGGGCAAAACCTGAATTACAGCCTCGGCTGGCACTGCAGTGGAGACAAAGCCTTTGTCCATTATTTATGAACACCAGGGATGGTTACGGAAAAACATGTTTTACATGGGGGTTAATTCTCTTACAAGACTAACAGAAGCCTTTGGGAATACTTTATGTTGAGCTAGTGGAGTACATGAGGGAACTGTACTGAAACAGAAATTATCATCTCTGGTGAAGCAATGGCTACATTCTTGAAGACCAGACTGTTAGTAAAAAATGTACAAATAATTCAAAACAGAAGTTCTTCTTGGAGGTGAGGAGTAATTTTCAAAATAACAGAAGCCATCACAGAGCTGACTGGTAGAACTATCTTTGAGAAAGGCCAAGGTACTTTTGAAATTTCCTTCTCATGGGACCTCTTGAACACGCTTCTTGTGGCAGCATAGGAAATGCACGCTCTCGGATGCAGTTTGGTTTGCAAGTCAGCCTGAAGTGATCCAGTGAATAAACCTCTTCCCTTTTGGTGGGGAGTTACTGAGTTTATGCTGGAAGGAATAAACTAGGCACTGATGCAACCAGTCCCACTTGAGGAACAGTTCAGGAATCTTCTTTCCACCACCCATTTCTTGGTCACTGTCTCCAGAGGAGACTAAAAGCACTTCTCATCCCCAGGACCATCTTAGACTCACTTCTTGACTTTGCACTGAAAAGTGTAATGAATCTTCAAGTGCTCAGTGAAAACAGAAGATTTCATTTCAAATGAAACCAGTCACTGACTGTAACAGCCTGCAGAAACGTAAAATATGGAGGCACACCAGGCACTCCAGCAGCTGGAAGATGCGTGGGGCCAAACTAAACCTGCCCCAAGCACACAGCTAACCCGTGGATCACACGCAGTTCCCGAGGAAGTGCCACATGAGAGCAGGGCTACTGGTCTGGGACGGAGAGACACCAATGCAGGTGGGAACAGGGCACTCGGCAGCTCTGGAGCTGGTGTTAACAGCAACAAGTGGCCAGTGGTGCTAGCCCACCCAGTAGACCAGGGAGCCGAGAAGGATATATACCTTTTTGAATTATACATAGTAGCTAAAACTACAGAGATACTTCAATTAGCATTTGCAAGAGGTTACTTGCAATTTTTGAGCTCACTCAATCCAACCTCTGACCTGCAATTTTCAGAAGCTGAGAACTGTTTTTTCTCATCATTCTATTTCTGTTAGTAGTGAAAAGTTACAAAAGAACCATCTCAAAATGTTATGGTGTTTATAAAGCACCCAGGCCTTTCCTTAGTTCTGCTACCTCATTGTTTTGGAGCGAGATAAAATCAGGGGAAGGATGGATGAGCTAGACTTTGCCCTTTGCAGAGTTAATAATGAAATCAAAAAGCCAAGACTCAAAGCCTTAGGCTACCTGCTTACAGTCCATTCCCATCTCTTCTAAAACCCCACAAACCCATAAGCAGCACTTGAACAGCTTATTACATACAAATAAACTCCAAATTGTTGCATAAATGACAATCTGCTCAGGTACAGATGGTTTTAACAGTTATTTTTATACTCTGTTATTAAGTTAAAAACCTGAATACTGAGCACCCAGTCAGATCATTGAATCAGTACATGGTACAGCAGATCCCACTGAGGCAGAAGAAAAAAAGACACTTTCCTGCCTAACAGACAAATGTGTAGCTGAACATCTACTTTTTTCTTGTTTTAAAAAACTGATTATGCTTGCAGAATAGATAAGAAATCCTATCACATTTATAGGTTAGACTGAACAACAGGCAAGGTCAACTGTTTGGCAAGCAAATCTGGACTCCATAGTTAAAAAATTTTTAAGCAGGTTTACTAATAGGGGAGCAGAAATACCATATTCCATGTCCCATATAATGCCAGACAAATTCTTGGCAGATACTACTTTATATTTTTATGTTTTTTAAGTCAATATAAAACTGTGAAAGCTTTATTTTAACAAAGACATTTTGAGTAATTTTTGGCAGATTTCCTTTTCAAAGCTGGTTTGAAAAGCTGATTAATTTTCTTCAAAACAATAAAACTTTTTATAAAAAGTAAGATATGGAGAGAAAATGGCTTGAATTCATCTAAGACTGCAAAATGTAGGGGATGAAAAGCTAGCAAAATGTTAAAATATCCAGAGTACACTGGGAAAGAAAGTACCCAATGGAATCTAATAATCTTCATGCCAATTTTTATATAATCATTATATAATTTTTGCATATAATAATAACAACCCATTTTTCATATATGTCATTAAGTTGTGACATAAAATACCTAATTCTTACATAAGATGTCCCTTCTCCCTACAGATATTGTCTCTCTTCAACCATCACTGATAAAATAAAGCTTCTAGCTTTCTCTCAAAGCAGTTAAGTCCCATTTTTCCTGTTTTACGGCCAGGAAAACAAGACATGAAGAAGTACAGTAGGAATGCCCATCTCTCTCCTGACTTTCATTCCAAAAGCAAGGTATTTCAAGTAAGAGTGCTCTCAAAGTATGTGAACACATTCTTCATTGCAAAGACTGAATTCAACTAATTAGGTCAAGCTATTATGCTTAAAGATTATGTCCAACCCGCTTGTTTAATACTTTCATTAATCTCTGGAGTAAGAACAAGAAAGAACAGTTACTCTTTAAATACAATTCCAGAAAACACTGTGTGGGCTTGTGCAGCGTGATCATGAACAAGTCCTCTAGTGTTGCAAGAATTCAGGGCAAATACCAAGAAAAATACATGTACTCATTGTAGCAGCCACCAAAATGCAGCTGTGTACAGTTAAATGCAATCGGTGAAACAAAAGTGGCATGCTCGTAACAGTAGTAATGGCGTGGGTTAGCGAAAAAGAGTCCACTCTTATGCAGGAGCATTTAATGTTTTCTTCTCAGGCTCTCACCTGCACTTAAACCAGAGGATCCCAAAGTTCCTTCATCTGATTCTCCTCTACACCAGCGTTTTAAGGTCATTACATCAGACAGGTGTGCAATTAGCTTCAAGTCAGCTAGGACATGCTCAAGTAGTGCACGCTGATGGAAACTGTATTCAAGCATACTTTTACAGGTAATTTATTCAAAGGTGCATGTCTTGCCTATCATTGCATCTGTGGTTTGCACAGCCTTGGTACACTGGCACAATCAGAACGGTAGCATCTTCCCATCGCTTAGAGAAAGTATCACTTTCTATGTATGATGCAAAGTATTAGAAAATGAAGTAAACTGTTCTGCTAATTTGCATAAGAGCCTGGAACTTGAAATGTGGCCTGACAAAATTATCATTTAAGTAAAGTAAATACTTTCAGAAAACAATGCTGAATAACAGTAGGCATCCAAAGGCTGAAACGAGTATCAGCAGAAAAGGGAAAGACTGCTAGCTCATTGACTGATTACTTTCCATACGTTACTCTCACTAGACGGTAGTATCAAAATGTACTTAGAGAAGATAAAATATCTGGTTTGAGTGGAGGCAAGGGGAAGAGGAAAGTACAGCGGAAGAAGGCTAAAAAGGGAGCCTCTGTATTTTAAAACCCCCTTCTGGGCCCAGGTGCTGCTGCTCAAATCTCCTGTGAGGTTCTGGCCACTTTGACCCTTTCCATCTTCCTGTATTTAAAAAAGAAAAATGTTCTTTATTGTCATCACTCAGCCCATTAGTGTGGGCTTAGATAAATCCAATTGTTTCATGTCTTTATTTACATCAGAATTCAGGAAAGCTCAGAAATAAACTACATCAAATGCACAGCCTAAAATACAAAAGAAATGTTTCTCAGTACTTTGGTATGTTAAGTTATATGAATTCAACGACTGCAATGAATGCCACTGATTCAAGCCCCAGTTAGTACCAGTAGATGCTATGCAAACTCTGTAAGCACAGAGTTTGGTAAAACACCAGCTTGAAATATGCCTTCTTCCCCAGTACGGCATCTTTCTAAGCACATGGCCAAACATAGGACACTGCTGTACACTGATGAGTCGCTTCGTAATGGTATAGGATGAGCTCCACCTGTCCCTCTTCACTGAAATTTAGCATTTGCTGTTTGGTTTTCCCGATCACTTTCGACTGGAATCTTACCAAAAAGAAAGAAGACCCCCCCCCCAAAAAAAAAGAGAAAAAAGGAAAGGCAGAAATCTGCTAGTAATGAATTAACTTGCACTGTGTCTTCCTGGTCAAAAAATGCAAACTAAGTGCTGAATCAGAATAACTTCTGTGCTGAAAACTTAAATTATAATATAACCTCTTTCAATGCAACACTCACCGGAAAGCTGATGCTAGAACAACTCCGAATAACAGTTCCACTTCTTTTAAGTAGAACTTTTTGAGTCATTCAAAAGTACCAAGTATACAAATAGCTAGAAATCAACTCTAGTTTTCAAGAGAAAAAACAAGCACTGAGCAATGAGATAACTAGCAATCTAATTCCAGCGACATATTTCAGGAATATTTTCTGATCTCTAACTTACCTCTTTGAATTTGTGAGCAAGCTTGCTAGTGTCTACATCACTGGGGGAGAACATGTCATCATTTTCAGGGAGATCGAACACTTCAATAGCCATGTCACCTCCTGGAAGGACAGGTCCCATGTCTTCATCTTCTTCATCTGTAGCATATTCCCCTGTCTTAATTTTATAGCATTTAAGAAATTCCAGTTATCCTCTTATTAGGCAGAGACTGTTCAGAGAGTAATTAAACTACTGTGCAAGCACAGCATACTGCATACAAAAAAGTTTCATCTTTTTGTTTAGCTATAATCCCACTACTTACAAATTCCATCAGACAAAATACAACTCCACAGTAGTATTTCAGAACGTCCAGAGAGAGGAGAAAACAGTGTCTTAAGCAGTAAGAATTCAGTGCTTAAGCATTACTGGCTCTATACTTCAATGGTTTTCACCCTTTCCCAAGTGTGGCCTCTTTTCCATAGGAAGACCTCTCCAAATTTATCTCAGGTTTCACGAGGAATCTTTTCCAAATAGAAGTAAAAGCAGAACAGGAATGACAGGATCCTGGTTAGTCTTTTGTAAGCCATCTGGAGGAAGTAATTCTCCAGTGATATTCCATGTTGAATTTGAAAATCCACTGGTTTGTTCTTTATAAACAAATTAACGATATAAAAGTCACACCCACACAGGAAGAGAACAGCAGGAAAAAGAAACCAAGTGTCAGAGACAAGTTCACAGGCTGAAGTCAAGAGTTTACTGAATTTTCACTCTGAATAAGGAATTGCTTCTAGCAAGTTTTGAACAGAAAATGTGGGTGTTTCTTGGGCTGGTAAACCATGACATGTGAACAATTTCTGACAAAACACAATTTAAAAAAATCCTAAGCTACAATCAGTATCTCAAGATTAAACAAAATAAAACAATACCATAGAAAAAAAAAAAAGCTTGCAATATTAAACCCCATGTTGCCTAGACAATCTTTTGCACATACACCTGTGCTCATCTCTCCCCATGCCTGAGGTGGCTGGGTACCACTTTCTTTCAGTGGGGCTCCCTCTGGAAGCTGGAGTACATTGCCTACGGATCACGAATAGCCTGCTGGCTATTCAAATGACTATGCAAATACATTATAAAGCAAACACATCCCTCAGGGCCACATCTGGATTTATAAGGTTTGGGACCCAATAAATACATGGAAAAGGAAGGGCAGGGGAAGAGGTGCAGTCCTCATGTTTATACAGAAAAAACACCAAAATTTTGACAGAACTACTCAAGTTTTTGTTCATGAGCTTTCAGTTCCTGAAATGAAGGCACACCGTATTATTATCAGACGTATACTCACAGTAGTGCTTGGTGTCACTTTTTGTGAAAAGAACTTTTCAAAACAACAGGTAAGAACTAAGATGTCTGAACAACAGTTCAAATCTCAACTTCCTACCTTAATTTAGTTTCCCAGCTATTGTTTAAGCTTATGTAAATCTCTCTCAATTAAAAAGCAGTGTATGGAAGCACATTAGGTGTAGGTGCGCCAAGTACACACAGACAGAAAAGATATATGTGTCCAACAACAGGGCGATATACTTGCAATAAAACATCACCATTTCTTGGATAAACAGCACACAGAATCATGGAATGGTTTGGGATGGAAGAGATCTTTAAAGATCATGAAAAATCTATATTCTCCTTTTTTTAACACCCCTGAAGTTTTAAAAAACAAAGCAAGCCAAAACACACAGAAAGCACAGAATGATTTGGTAAAATCTTCTGTTGTTAAAAGAACTATCCAAAATAAGGTAAGTCACCAACATGCATGACCCATCCATGCTTTAAATGTCACTGTTAACGCAAGACACTTCTTAGGAGAGCTTCCTCTGTCTCTATAAATAGTTATATATTCTTCAATGAAACAAACAGTAACCAATTATTTGACATACTTTATATGTACTAAGGATCTCAGTACTCTTCAACAATAAAAGTTATCAGCTGTTTTTACTTCTTTTTTCCTTATTTAAAACAGAAGCAAAGAACACACAATCCATCCCACTGGAGTTTTCAGGCATGCTAGCATTACAGCTAAACAAAACAACACCTGACATTAAATTTATCATTCTGTATGTCTAGATCTCACACACACACACACACACACAAAATCTTCTGTTACACTACACTTGCAGTAACTTCTGTTTCTATTTAATTCCCCACAGCTACGTACGGTTATTGTCTAAAAAGAGAATCAGGCTGCTAACTCTCCTGGCTTTTTCCAGGAGAATGTAACACCACCTTCACACACCATCAGGGCAGCGAGAAGCAGAACAACTAACTCTAAAATCCCAGCAAGATTTCAATAAAATGAATTATTGTGGGGACAAAACACTAACACAATCCATGTACTGTCAATTTTGCAGTCATTATCCCTGAAAAATCTATAAGGTGATACTCAGCTATCATTTCTACATGAAGAAAAAGTATCTTGGCAGGTCCTTCAGCAGTGGCAAGGAAATCTCTGAAGCATTAAAGAGGGGGCAGGAATAGGATCGTTATCTAGCAAACTCATGCCCAGTGTACATAAAAAAGCCTGACCTGGCTCAGCTACATGTGCATTTTAAAGGAGTATCTTAATTTAATGCAAAATCCTAATTATTTTTACCAATTTTAATATTGTTACCAATAAAGTAACAGAACAGATGAGTGCGTCGGGTTGACCCTGGCTGGAAACCAGGTGCCCACCCAAGCCATTCTATCACTCCCTCCTCAGCTGGACATACAACAAAATACTTGTGGGTCAAGATAAGGACGCGGAGATCACTCAGCAAAACAGACATGACTTGGGGAAATTAGTTTAATTTATTGCCAATCGAAATCAGAGTGGGATAATGAGAAAATAAAAAATAAATCTTAAAACACCTCCCCCCCACCCCTCCTTTTTTCCTGGGTGCAGGGGGATGGGAAATGGGGGTTGTGGTCAGCTCATCACATGTTTCTGCCTAATTATATTTACGAATTTTGGTATAAAACAGGTGAGTTTAGTTAAAACTGATTCCTCCAAAGAATTAGCTAAAAAGAAGTACCTCATACAAAAAGAAAAATGAATACATATGAAGGACTAAGTTATACTGGGGAAAAATTCAAGGGAAGGCAATATTCTCCTGGCCTCAACAGCCAGTGTTTGAAGAGGGATGTCAGGCAGCTTAAGATGAACACAGAGAAAAATCTTGATTCAACAAACCGTATACAATGAGTGTCAATGGGCACAGTAATTTTGCTTCAATTAATGTAAAAAGTAGGCATCAAAGCATTGCAGTTTGCTCAGGTAAACAAGACAGTAGGATGACACAAATACATTACAGAACACAGAAATAAATGGGAGTTTTGCTTTTGTCTTCAAAAGGAAGGGATACGATCTTAACAATCACATGAAACATAAATTACAGGTTCAAAAGAATCTATGTGTGCTTTAAGGAAATATATGTTATAAACTACATGCAACATACTCTCCCTGAAAAGGAAAATCTCTGCTGACTTGTGTTTCACATGAAACTACTAGAAGGTTGCTCAGACCCTGCGCCACTAAGCTAGAATGGGAAGGTCAGTGTTTTACAAGAAACAGTAAGGTACAGACAAAAGTAATTTTACTTCAAAATAACAAAACCTTTTAACTTAACAGTTGTTACTGTAGCTGCCTGAGGTTCCTTGCAATACATTTTCTTAGCCAACAACAACAATAATGTTTTTTTACTCAATGGTCAATGAAAACTTAACATGCTCTTGAAGGAAAATCTCAGACTCTTCAGTCTGTATTGGTGAGCAAAACCCATCCACGCAAAAGATCTATTTCTCATTTCAGTAGCACCTAGGGCTTAAGCTTATCCCATCCACAGCACTACCGTCTGATGTTTAGCCACGCAATTTTGCTATATGCTATCACTGCTAGTAGCATGAAATTATCTTTATAAATATGAAATAAAATTTCCCACTTTAAAAGGGAAAATGTGTTATTCACATTGTTTAACTGCCTTGTAAATTCTTGAAATGGGCCTAAGACTCCCAAGGAGAAAGAAGGAGCAGTAGCATCAGCCAGGATAATGCAGACAGATCTTCCCCAAATCACCGTAAGCAAGGCTGCATCAAGCTAAATCTTTTGTTTGTGCTGAAATGCTCCCACAATCAGGGAACACCATTTGAAGAACTATAAAAATACATCAAGCCCACCTCTTTATTTGATTTTTTGGATGGTTTATACTTAGTTCTTTCAAAAGAGCACAGAAAAATATGGTATAGTATCAATCATTGCTTTTACAGAAGTGCTTCATATTAATGATGTTGGAAAAACCACACTCTCTGAAAGATCTTGTTTAACAAATGTGTTCTTTGGGTGTTAGACTTCAAGTGCATCCTAACATTTTTGGTTTTGTGTGTGTCAAGATTTTCTTCAATGGTTCTAATGTTGCTTTGCTCTTAGAATGTCCTGATAAATGAGAATTAAAAATTAAAAAATATTCAAATTACTATTAGTGATATTAAAATACATTAAAACATCACTTGCATAAAACCACTTGTCTGTGGCCACAGAGTGAATACACTTCTGCCATGTTATTAATTTCACATCCTGCATCACCATATGTAGCCTTCAGGGGAACAGGTCACCTGCTTTATGTGACTTTTGCATTCGCTGTAGAACATGAAGAAGATAATACCCTGTTCAAATCAAAATTCCAAGAAATGGCAGAATTTGACTAAAATGTGCACAGAACACTGTGTTAATACAGGGAAGTCAAAAGGTTTCAGTCAAGGATACAGACTCAGGTTGTACTTAACACACTAAGTAGGAAATACAAAGACAGTGCCTACATCAAAGCCTTTGCATTTTGTTTTCTGACAGGATACAACAAATTAAAAGGATGTTGGATTTTAGGAAGCTAGACTAACTGGTGATGAGTAAACCCTGCTGCAGGCTATCTAGAGGCAGCACCTGAAACAACAACTCTCCCAGCTTTATTGTAGTTAGCACAGGCTCACTGGGAAATGCCAACACTGCCTATCCTAAGTAGTACTTGAGAAATAACTGATACTACTGGCTCTGCTTGGCTCGTGGGAGCGTAACAACAAATTGTGAGCTGCTGCACATTTATCCTGCTTGTCTTTGCATGGACTCCATTGTGGGCATCCTTTTTCTTTCAGTGTTTGTCAGTTCTGCACAAGGTTCTTGTGTTTCCATGCAAAGACTTAAATGAAGGAGCATCTGAAAGTGTCCTGCAACCCTGTGATGACCTGCAGCCCATGATAGCAGCAGATTCTGAAGTGCAGGGATGCAGGGCATTTATACAGTAAATGATGTTTTGTTCAGGATTACTTATATAGTAAATGATGTATCTTTTGGAAACACTATGTGTGTTATTGTGCATCCTCCCCAACAAGTAACTGTCATGTAACATCCCTGCAAGCTGGAATGAGAAGTTACGGCAGGCTAACAAGTGTCTCTCTAATTTAGTATCTGACTCAAGTCCGGTGGCTGAAAATCTGGCAGAAAACAAAATTGCTTCAATAATTCTGCTATTTGAAAGAAGTTGGATCCTTTGAAAATAGCTAGATGCTGTTTGGGCTATGATGAAGACTGTCCTAAGTTTGAAAACAGAGGAAATCCAGCCAGCTGGTGGCACAGCAAGATAAAACACCAGCACTTGCACATGCCTGGCACACGCTCTCTTCCTGTGATTTGACCAGCTCTACCAAACACAGTCATGTGCAGTGACTCCAGGACTCAAACACAGGTCACCGATTTCCTGCTCCGGAAACCTGGTATGTTACTGCTGTCTTTGTGGTGAAGTCTCTGAGGCTCAGATTTTGACAGCCTCGATGGAGGGTTGAATAAAGACAATTTTCTTTTTTATTTATGCAGCATTGTAGCTGGAGATCCATGTTACCATACTTTAAGAACTGTGTGAAAATGACTAGGAGAGTTTGATAGCTCTGAGACCGAGCAACTCCTGTATAATTCTGTGTCACCTCGGCACAAAACTCCTCACACTGGCAATCCAAATATTCCTGAACCTCATGTAGCCAGAACCACTAATCGCTTTGAGGAAATGGACTTGAAAGGGTAAGGTTTTTTGTACATTTGTGGGTATTTATTCACACAGTGTAAACTGAGATTTTCTTGCCGGAAAGATGCCCTGCTTACCAGAGCCAAAGAATGCAGGGCTGGCAGTGATGTCTGGCATATAGCATAAAAACCCCAGCCATATTTGCCCTCACAGAGAAAGGTGAGCTCAAAGTAGTAATGCTCATATTTGATGGTAAATGGAGCAGAAGTACTTGTGGTGACCAAAAATGTCTTTGAACTGTGTCTAATGTGTATTAGATCACAGCTTCCATCGTGTCAACTGCCTGGGAATGGTACAAGGTATGTGAGTTTACTTGGATGCCATAGTCAGGTGACAAAAAAAAAAAAAAAAAAAAAAATCAGGATTACTGCAGGTTCCCAGTAAAATCTACTTCTGGTAAGTCTGTTAATTAAGAAAGTGAACATGCCTCATTGCATACTTTAGTAACTACACCCCAGCCGTCTATTCAGGGAATAAGGTTTACCACCCACCTCCCAAATATATATATGGCATCAAGTAAGAAATGGGTATGATCTTCAATGATCCCAGCGTAGTTTTTGAGAACTGAAGTACTGCATTTGTTCTGAAGCCTAATTCCTTCTTCTTCCAAAAGAGATTTTTGATGACACTCTGGATCTCCCCTGGTAGCTGTCTTTTCCCTTCTTCTTCCTTCTTTCCTCACATACTGCATCAAAGTCCCCTTTGAACTACAAATGCTAATGGCCAAAAAGCACGTCATGGTCACAGAGGTGGTCATCATCCTCCATGTAGTGCTACAATAAGAGAAGATGACTTTATTCCTGTTAATTACTTGCCCCATCTTATTTCCTCTCTACCATCCAAAGGCGCTACCAATAGAAAACACTTTTTGCATTTGGTATTTTTTGTGTTAAAAATTTATGCAGTGAACAGGACTTAAGAGTTTGTAACCACTGAATTGCAAGGACAGGAAGATCCATCACAAAAAGTATCTAATACCTACTCATCCCTGTCCTCTTTCACTACTGTGCTGAGGAACACCTGCATGGTCTGTACCAAAGTGTCACT